ATCATCCTAGTAAATCTCATTCCATGAGGAGTAAGGAACATTTCAGAATAGTGATTTATTTCAAAGTAAGTGCCATGTAGACAGCACCAAATTTTGAAATAAGCTATTTTGAAATTAACTCAAAATAAGCTATGCAATTTGAGTAGTTCAAATTGCATAGTTTATTTCGAGTTCCGGGTGCAGTGTAGACATACCCTGAGAGACTCACCAAAATATATAGACTCATGAGCTTTTAGTTAGTCTTTAAACTAGTTCATCAGTCCATAAGTCTGTGTATGATTTATGGAAATCAGGTTCAAACACCATATCTGTTAGTATGAGGATTTTGAGATTAACAGATATAATCTGATCTTTAGGGCAGTAAGCTTTCTACTGTGCCTGAGTTCTAGATCCAGAATCCCAGATATTGATCTAGGATGGTGTTAGGGTGGTTGCAGGTGATGGATTCTATTCATGCTCTTGGCTATTATTTCTTCCCTGGGCACATTAATTGCTGCTACAGTATGAAGTCTGAATGAAATTCTGATTGGTGGATTTATATAAAATATTTATATTTTCCTTCTCTATACTAAACTGGAAGTTGCACTTTCAAAATGGCATATAAAATGGCTAATTATCTTTCCTATAAAACCAAGTCTAGTAAAAGTCTGTGTCTCCATAATGACCTATGCCGACCTTATTCATGGGCAGTAATTATTTGTGAACATCTCTTCACAGATGTTTCCACTTATATTAGCAGCTCTGTGACATGAACTCCTCTTTCAGGGATCCTAGGCAAGTCCACATTCATTATCAGTTTCCACACAAAGGACAATGATTATAAGTGAACAAAGCCCTTTAACACAGGCACTAGCATTTACAGAAGAGATTATGAGGGGCCTGAAGCAATGATCTTGCCACAGAGGGGCCCTGAAGTACTACATCAGTGCCACTTTATGATCTTTTCATTAATGAAATTTTGCTTTGATTTTATCCCATTAGGGATAAATAATCATTTAGCACAATAACCGTTGTGATAATAATGATAGGTTGATGCCAAAGCATGGTTAACTTGTGCTTCTTTGTCTTTTTGATCGCCCCCTGCCCAGCCTCCAGGAAATATCATGCTGCTTGAACAGACAGAGAGACAAGTTACTGTCATTTTCATTCTCTCCTGACAAAAAGCGAGTTAGATTCTCAGCTTGTGTAAACTGGCATTGTGCCATGGACAGCAATGAAGCTTTGCTAACTCACAGCAGCTGAGAATCTGCCCTTTTTCAAAAGTTCTTTATATATGCGTGTGTACTTCTGAAAGGTGTATGCTGCTAAGAAAAAAGATTCTACCCTCTCCTTCCCTCTTTTTATACCTGGAACAAATATCTACCATGGCTTTCAGCTAATGCATTTTAAAATAAGCTTACATCTATTAGGTATGAGTTTTCCTTTACTTATACCAGTGATTAATTCCACTGAAGTCAATGGAGTTACTCTGATTTTGAAAAGGTGCAACTTCATTCATTTCCTATGGAATTACTCCTAATTTACATTGGTATAATGGGACAACCAGGCCTTGTGCACACACTTCAGCCTGGTCTACTCATTTTTTCTGGAATAGCTACACTGATTAGAAGTGTGAAAAAAGGCACATTCATAACTGACCTTGTTATGCCAGGAAATGTCCTAGGGGAGACACAATCATGCTAGTAAAAAAGTCTGTTTGCTGTTATAGCTCATTTTGTCCAGGGAGGTATTATAAGCTATACAAGTAAAACAAATAATTCCTTTGCTGATATTAGCTCACTAGGAGGGTTTGCCACTACAGCTGTACCATTGTACCTATATCAACAAACTCTTCCTAGCTTAGAGAGAGTCCACATAAGACGCAAAGAACAGAGAAATGCCTCCAATCTAAGTAAATAGATCACTGAAGTGGGTGGATTGAGCTATTTAGAATTCTGATTTGCTTCCTGGTAGGTGAAATATAATGCTGCAGATGACTGACAAGTATTTTGGAGCACAACTGCAGATTTTGCAGGGGGAAATGTAGAAATTATAGCAGAGAAAATAGCAATAAATGTGGTCAATTTGCCATAAACCAATGTCAAAAGGGGTAAATCAAGAAAAACTGATCATTAAGAAATGAATTTATCAAACTTGCTTCACAATAAAAAGGAAGGAAATCTGGACAAACAAAGCACTCCTTTTTCCTTGTTTTTTTTCTTCTTTCTCTTTACCTCTTTCTTATGTGCCATTTTGAAATGAGGATGGGAGGGAAAAGAATAAAGTTTTTCAGCTGATTTATGTGGGTTTATGTTGCCATAAATCCATTCTTTCCTATTCCTCTGAAATACCCTCCCTGTTTTCACTCTCACTGCCCACTATATTATTTTCTCTCTTGCTATCTATTATTTCATAGCACCCATAATTGTACTCAGTGCTTCACAGAAGGCATGGTGTCTAAAGGCTAAATTTAGGATGTCATATAGGTGAGGCCAATGAAGCAGGAAAATCCAAAGTTTGCAGCAATATGATCATGTTATTACTCATCCATATACAACTCTTAGTGGTTCAAGGCTTTTTTTAACATTACATCAACATGTAATAAATTTATTTATCATGAACATTTGTGTAGCGGGCATACCAGGGACAAGGAGGGAAAGTGTCTAAAGAGCACTGAGCTCAGGCAATCCAAGTTGGCAGATGCTTTCCTGGGGTCCCAAGGGAGAGCATATTAAAGCAAACTGTAGATGGATGTAACCTATGGTGAGCCAGGCTGAAAACCAGGGAGGCATAGACAGCTTTCAGTTGGTTCTGCATCTCTACTGCACTTCACAGGTGCTAAGATGCCAGTGAATCTGGCTCAGTGAGGGATAAGAGAGTGTCAGAATTCAGCAAAATACCTTTTGAGTAGAATTTCATTTTAAACATTTGAATGTAAACCTTTCGCAGAGTTGATGCACAGTTCCTGTTAATGGCAAGAAGAATTATGCAGCATGTACAGATGGTACAGATCTCATGGATTTTAAATGTAATCTCCGTGACAGCCAGGATCTTCTAGAAACAGTGGGCCTCATTCTTAGCTCGTGTAAATTGCCATAGATCATTTGTTTTTACTGGAACGAACCCACTTTTGCAGCAGGATCTGTCTCAGTTTTTAAATCAGCCTGTGGGATTAATTAAGTCCCACTGAGAGTAATAACAATTGTAAGCACCCCCACTAAAACCCATGCAAATAGTTTTACTAATTTTGCAAAACTGATGTTAAAAACGGAAAAATTTGTTCTTTTACATTGTGATGAAGAGTTATTTTTGCTGGCAGTTTCCCCCCTTTCCTATTAGAATCCCCATTGATGTAGGGAGGAAAAAGTACTGCAAGATCACAGCTGCTGTGGCTGAATCTGAAGAATATCATCCCTCAAAATTCTCTTTATGTTTCTTTGTAGGTCTCCAGCTGAAGTGATAGCTCCAGAGATCAGGACAGAAAAGTCTGGCAGAAAGATGGCTTTCTATTATTGGTGTGTTTCCATGGTTGGAGGATGAGGGAAATCAATCCCCTAGTGTTATTACTTTGGCATACGAGTATGCGTTATTATTCATTAAAATTTATTTTCATATGAAATTACACAACAGCATCTCAGTAAAGGTTACAAAGGTATTTCCAGAATCTGCAATAAAACTAGACAATCATTCAAACACCAATTTATCATAATGTTTGTGTTCCTGCCTCAAGGTAAGTAGGAGCGAAAGAATAATGTACACTGGAACGAAAAGTTACTTGGTATCCAGAGCACTTTCCTAATTGAAAAGTAAAATCAATTCATACACTTTGGCTCTTGCCAGTAATGGCTTTTATCTTGGGTTTTGGAAACTCAATGACACAGCAGCCAGGTCAGGAGCTCAGATTGAACTTTTCTGTGAAATTCTCTGATTAATTTTAATCCAAGATTCTTTGCTATCTGATTATGCATATTTAGTTGCATAGTTATGACCCATATCAATGCATTCCTCCTTTTCCTTCCACCACCTATCCTTGAGTCATCATCACCTTTATGAAAGCCTCAAGAATCCCCTTTTAATCACTTTACAAACCAACTCTGGTGGTGACCATCATTGCGGCTGAAGAAAATTAATTAGGATTTCCCTTACATCTCATGGCAATCCCTTAGTTGTTTGGAAAGGTGCAACAAGCAATGTTTCTGCATCCTTCCTGTCTTCAGGAGTTCATTTGTAAAAGGTGCTGAGCAACCTCCATGCCCGCTGACGTCTGTGGTTACTCAAAACTCTGAAAATAGGCCCAAGTGTCCCGGAAACAAATCTGTATTTCAATGCTACCTTTTCACTGTGCTATGACTTTCGGAAGCTATTGTATTATATTTGCATACATTATAGAACTTGAATCAGCTGGAAATTTCGTACCTTATTCAATCTAAAAGCTGTTGTATTATATTGCAGTCCATTCTATTTCTACATTTCCTAAGTACAAGAATGAATTATAACCAATCAGACATTGCAACCCTGTGTTCTGGGCTGGACTTGCAAATGTTAACAAGATCCACCTTCTTTGCTTCCTTCCCTTAAGATTTTATGATCTAATACCTTACTTTTTTTTTTTAACAAAGGGGTTAATTTCCCCCCTCCGTTCTATTTCAACAGCACTGGCACAAACATGACACCATGGTTTTCAAAGATTTTCTGTACAATGCAAGTTATAATATCTGAAAACACAGTTCTTCAGTTCCAAGTGATAACATTAATTAAATTACAAAAGATTCTAGCATATTAAGTTCCAGTCTCATGAGGTTCTGGGGCAGAAGAATGAGCAATGGCTGATTTTTTCATGTTTTAATATTTTGTAATATAGAGCCTGATATAATTTGTGCACTTACCTAAAAATAGTCAATTTGCCCTTTATAGTAAGTAGGGCAGTATTTTAAGTACACACTCAGAGTACTCTCTTTTCCTGACTGTGAAATCGTTTACTGATAGGAGTAATACAAATGTGTGAAGGACTTGTTTCTTACCATAGTGAGGAATTATTGCCCATGCCATGGCAGAAGCATAGATGCCTCCAATCATCCAAAACATGCACAGCCAGCTTAAGTGTTCACCTCGCTTCTCTCGAGCAAGAACTTCAGAAAAATATGAAAACACAGTTGGAACAGCTCCACCGATCCTAAAAGGAGACAAGAGGTATGTGTTAAAGTCAGAGCAATAACAAGCCTTAAAGTCTGAATACAATTAACTACTGTACCTGCTCAGAACCTGAACTAAAAGAGCCTTTGCCACAAAAAGTGTTCTTGTCTATGTTTGTTTTTTCTTAAGTACATTGAATAAACTTTTGGTGAAGCCCCACACTTTTGGACACAATTAAATGTATACATTTTCATAAAAATGGTAAAGCCAATAAAGTGGCAGATTAATTTAATTGTCAGTGACCCAGTGTGTCAGTTTAATTGTCAGAATTACAACTACCATTAAGTTGTGTATTTGGCTTTTATTTTTATGAAAATCCATGTTATTATTATGGTAGGACTGACAGTCTACATCATGATGAGAAGTTTCTCATGAAGCATAGAGAATTTCTTTTTTTTTAAATTAATTTTTGGTCATGTTATCTGGAGTCAAGGTGTAAGTAATAGCTGTTCTCATTCCATTCATTCCTCCTCACCCTGCTTCCCCAAGTCTTGGTTTCCCTTATTTAACAGAGAATAGGCAAAAAGTTCAATATCTCTGATTAGTGAATCTATTCATAAAAGTATTATGCAGTAATATTCTCTATGATTTGCTACTAACTTAGGCTGACTTTTTTCTTTTGGGTCTAAAAATATTCAATTTTAATTTTGAATGCAATGACATGCTGGTAACTCTTTGACCTTATGCAGCAATATATCTTTTATTACTAAGTGCTATTGTTGGTACATTTTGTATGAAAATTCTTTTTCTTGAATGCATCTGAGGCCTGCTCTGTACTTCAATTTTGCTTGCACAGCTATGATGGCTAGAAGCGTGGAAAAAAATCAGTTGCCTAACCAATACTGATGTGCCAGAAAAAGTCCCAATGTTGATGTTATACCAGTAAACAAATAATCTTGTTGAAATATCTTGCTTTGTGTGAGGCACTGGTGTGAGCTGTACCAGTAAAGGCCAGGTATTGTGTATGTACAACAGTACAGTGCTCCTAGTGTAGACGTGTCCTTCATTTTACACGATTACACATTCCATCTGTAAATTGACTGTGCTGATTTTTGTTTGAGCTAGGATCAAAGCATTATTTGAACATAATTCTTCTGTATTTAATATTAGAAGATTTACCTGGTGCTGCTTAGGCCCTTAACTCAAACAAGTTTTGTTTTTCTTCATTTAAATAATTGTTCTGGGGTGGGACTGGGGATGAGAGGTTCAGTATGGAGGCTGCCCTGGGGTGTGAGGACAATCCCAGCCCTCTCTCACCACTGTAGATTGGGGCCAGGTGAGAAGCGCCTCTCCATGGTTGCAGCAGCTGCAGCAAGCACAGCTGGGAGAGGAGTGCATGTCCCCTGGCTGGGGGACAGACAAACGCACACCCAGACAAACTCTCTGAAATATATAGTAGATTACTACCCCTTTCTGCACCTCTGCCGGCCCAATGGGGTTTTAGCTGTCCTGGTTTCCATCTCTGCCTCCTTGCTGCCCTGTGGTCATTCTATAGTATAACTGCCCATCCTACCAGACTCCTGTCTTTCCGTTTTTATGAGAAACAATCAAATTCCAGGGACATCCCAACAAACCTTTATTTTGCTTTAAGTTACAAAAGGAAGCTGCATATCAAATATCGTGGTCCTAGCTCTTACCATTTAGGAGGAGTTCTTGAACAAACAAATGATAGACATTTCAAAAATATATAATAAAAGATTATATATTATTGGAAGACTTCTGTAAAGTATTTTTACCGAATGAACAAATACTAACAACATGAAGTTGAAAAGGTACATTTGGTTATAACTGACCAGTTTGAAAGAGAATTAAAGCCATTTTCTTCACTGTGGCATCCAGGCAGATCTATCCTAGTTAGACATTGCTAAGGTGCCATCATCAAATTAGGTGACTAGAAATATTTGGTGCCCTACTCAGGTGGTTTAAAGTACTTGAAATGAAAGCTTTCTTAAAATTACAATGAACATTTCTTCAGCTTGTACTGCCAGAGCCATACTGCTAAAAATGACATCGGCTACATCTGCAGTAATAAAATCCCAGATTTATATACCAACATTAATTCTAATTTACTAATGTGAAAGAGGAATTTTGTTGAATTAAATGTTTACTCATTATGATTGACAACTTCGATTTAAAATAAATGTAAATTGATTTATTACATCTAATCCTAAGCTCATATTGTGCTCGGGGGTCAGTCCCAATGTCACAAATGAAGTCTTTTCTGCATGTGGCCACTGTCTGCACATAGAAATGTCTCTTTAAAACATAATTTTACATATCTGATGAAAATATGGACCTCTCCAAAGACTATAACAAGAAAAATAGTTCAACTTTCCTCTATAAAACTTCATAAAATACAAGATGAATAATTTGCAGCATTAGATTCAGACCTTTCAGTATTCATCTTTAGATCTTTACTTGGGCTAAAAAGACAGTTTTCCATCTTAAAACTTCAAAATGGTCCATCATGTCCCAGGACTCAAGATTTGTGCTTTCATTTTTCAGTGTTCAAGATAATGTTTATGGGGGATCAAGGAGTATTTTCATATCAATGAATCTCCCAAAAGACATGGGCTATATACTATAAAACTGCTGAAATTCACATGTGCTAAAGTCACAATTGAATTTCAAGATAAGGATAAAGATTCATTTACGCTGCTGTGTCACTGGCTGCTAAAACATTGGGGAAAAGATGCAAGTTTACCAACAGGTTAAAATTATAGAGGAAAAGCGGAATACAGAAATAAACTTCTGTCCCATGAAATTTCAGTGGATTCCAATAAGGTTTATTTTAGAAGATGTTCAGGTACTGTGCTAAGTGGTTATATGTCTCAAGGCTAACGTTATTTTGTTGCTTCCTTCTAGGCATTAATTTACAAAGGATCCACAATAGACTCTCATGTATTATAAATAGCTCCCAAGATTGACTGAAACATGCTAGTTCTTAAATTCTCTGCAAAAATCCTGCTACACAAATTCATAGTCCTATAAAATACCACTTGTGCTTTACAGCTAGAAATGTAGTATGAGGCGATCTTCCCCATTCCAGCCCTTTTCTGGTGGGTAAAAGGGCAAGAATGGTGGAAAAGGGCCCTTCATATCCATCTCGATTAGATTCCCTGGGTGCAGACACAGAAGACAATCATTGGGCTGTTCTCCAAGGATCCCCTTAAATCCAGGCATAGGGAACTGCTGGGGGAAGGCTTATGGAAAGCAAATCAGGGATGAGGCAGCAGCCCACAGTACTATGGAAATTCTGAGCTTGTGGAGGATGCTGTTAATTTAAACAGGAGTCCAGTCTCCAGAGCAACTCAAGATTACAAAGCTGCAAAAGTGGTTCAAAGCTGCCATAACCTTTCTTCCTTCTGGTCTGAGATGGAGCACTGACTCTCAGCTCCTACAAATCACTTTGAATACAGTACTCTCTTCTTAATTTAAATTCCTTATATTATCTTGAAGAGTCACTAGCAGTGGCAGAAACCAGTGTTCCATATCCCTGCTGGACCCTAAAAGGTGTGGAACATGCACTTGGGTTGGCTCTGTGTTCAAGGCACTCATCTTTTAGAAACAAGCCCAAATTGAAAGTGTTGCTATTAGCCTATAGAAGAGTGTAGTGGGGGCAACTGCCCCACACTGGCTGGAAGGGGTTAATGCAAGCTGGAGGGAGTCTGTGCAGAACCTTGGCCAATGAGAGAGAGGCTTTTTACTAGCCAATTAGGGTATGGCTTGCTGGGCAACCCTGCATATAAGGAGCAGCCCAGCAGAGCAAGTAAGTTAGGCCCTGACCAGGGAAGGTGCAGGACCTGGTTCCCAGAGAGGCACCTTCAACAGAGCAGTGCTGGGCAGGCTCAGGGAGGCTGAAGAGGGAGGCTCCCACCTGATACCTGTCAGGCTGCTGGCTTTGCCACTGGGCCAGGATGGTGCAAGGGATCACAGAGAAAGTGGCCCGGGCAGTGAAGGGGTATAGAGGAGAGCAGGACAAGGTTGCTGCCAGAATGTCCCTGGATCAGGACCCAGACTAATGAGTGGGCCCGAGTCACCCCCTTTCCTCTTTCCATCATACCTTGCCACCAAGGCATGACTGATACAGACTATGACTTGCCCAGAGACTGGGGCTGGGCTTGGAGGCCACAGCAGCAGCAGAACCACAGGACTGCTGATAAGTCCCCAGAAGGGGGATGAGAGATCCCTGGAATGGGCACTGCCAGAGGGCGGAGTCCTGAAGAGGACAGCATGATCAAGGAGTGACACGGATCTAGAACTGGAGTGTGGAGTGAGGACCAGGGGAGACACTAGCTAGGAGGTTGCGCCCTGTGGACTAAAGAATGAATTCCCCAGAGCTACCAGTAGGCAGCATTGAGTTGGTGAGTCCTGGCCCCGTGACAAAAAGTGTTTAACACCATATTTGCATTAAAAACAAGTTCTTGTAATAACAGTGGAGGTTTTCCCTATCATTGATTCAATTCATTAATGAAGTTTGAGATAGCCTCTGGCAATGTTCCCTCAGTTTTTTCCATCCATGTGTGAAATAATTTTTGTTATGTGCACTGAGGCATGTGTAGCTGTGCACCACCAATAGAAACACAAGTTGCCGGCTGTGGGAGGCTGAGAGTGCTCTGCTAGTCAGATAGGCGACATTTGACTCTCTCCTGGGTGACCACGTAAGCATTCAGCTTACAGGGAGCACTTGCCTCTGGGTATATTTAACTTGTATTTACATATTCTGGTCCCTTGTCTACTAATCCTATTCTTGGTTCTAAATTTGATTAAACAAAAGTCTACATAGAATTGACAATTTTTCTTTTTGTTTCAAAGTTCTTGTCACCTAAATAGAGAATAGTGTAAAGCCACATATTGCAGTTACTATGATAGTAAATGTAACAGATTCAGATAGCTTGTGATATGTTGTATTAATAATAAAGTTGTATTTAGGACTCCTAGAGAGGCTTTCTACGTTCAAAGCACTTTACAGACATTATC